TCACTGCTGCTGCTACTGCTGCTGCTACTGCTGCTGCTCCTGCTGCTGCTATTGATGCTACTGCTGGTGCTGCTGCTGGTCCTGCTGCTGCAGCTCCTGTTGCTACTATTGGTGCTGCTGTGTTTGCCATATGCTGTGGCTTGCTGAACAAGGGTTTAGGGTTTAGGGTCTAGGGTTTAGGGTCTAGGGTTTAGGGTTTAGGGTTAGGACCTTCACAGAACTGGAGGATGCTGGCGAGGACATCGTTGCCCATCTCAAAGCAAGCCTTCATTTCTACAATCTGCAGCGCAAACCCTAAACCCTAAACCCTAAACCCTAAACCCTAACACCCCCAATTGCCCGCGGCAAAACCCTTAAGCTAAATTTCTTATCATTATATCCTACAGAGGTATCGTAGACCCGAGGTCCTGTAGGTCTCGCCTCAACCCTAAACCCTAAATTACTAAACCCTAAACCCTAAACCCTAACCACCGAACTTCTTAGAACGCCTGAGTACAAGGGTTAGTGTTTAGGGTTTATATTTGGAGGTTTCGTCTGGCTGTTATGTTTGTGGTTTGTGGTTGATATTCAGGTTTGATCGGTCGGCGTTGGGTTTTCGCCCGAGGGTTTAGGGTTTAGGGTTTAGGGTTTAGGGTTACATGGGGGTGTGGCCTGATATCTTTGTGTATTTCTATTTCATTTTGCACTCTCTTCACAATTTTTAATCTTTCTCTTTCTCGCTTGACAGAGGAGAGCACATGCAGCTTCGCTGCTGCTACGGAGCATGTCAGTGGGTCAAATACCTGAACAAACCCTAAACCCTAAACCCTAAACCCTAAACCCTAGCCCCTGAACCCTAAACCCTGAAGACTAAGCTCCAAACCCTAAACCCTAAACCCTAGACCCGTCAGAAGGGGAGATGCGGCGCCACTGGAGAGAACGGTCTAATGCTCAGGTTTGGCAATTCTAGATTAGGGTTTGAGGGTTTAGAGTATGAGGGTTTAGGGTTTAGGGTTTCACGTCACCTCCCAGACTTCAGCAAAGCCGCCCCGGCCCAACATATTCAGCAGGCGGTACCCCCGCCTCAGCTGGTGGAAGTTGTTGAAGGGAGAATTAGACTGCGAGCAAACCCTAAACCCTAAACCCTAAACCCTAAACCCTAAACGTTAAACCCTAAACCCTAAACCCTAGGCATGGATTGGTTACTGCACGAGAAAAAGAGCTACAGGTCGTATACGATAAACCCTAGGTGCTGGAATTGCCCGCCCAGAGGACCGCGCGCAAACCCTAAACCCTAAACCCTAAACCCTAAACCCTCATAGCCCACCAGAGGGGCTCACCTCAGCCAGCAGGAGCTTCATCTGTTTAAGCAGGCGGTAGCGACCAGCATCCAGCTGCCGCTTAGCCTCCAGCAGCAGCCGGTTCAACTGCAGCAGCAGCAACAGCAGCAACAGCAGCAGGAGCAGCAGCAGCAACAACCAGAAGCATCAGCGGCAGCAGCAGCATCAGGCACACGCCGGCAACCCCCCGCTTCTCTCGACGTTTCGTTTTACATCTCATCGCTTACAGTTTGGGGTTAGGGTTTAGGATGAGGGTTTAGGGTTTAGGCTTGCGAGCAGGGTTTAGGGTTAGGGTTTAGGGTTAAGAATTAAAGTTAGGGTTTAGGGCTAGGGTTTAGGGTTTAGGGTTTAGGG